CTTGGATGGATCTGGCCGGAGGGGTGTTGGAGCCCAGCCCACCCACATACCAGACACAAGCTCTTAGGGGAGCAGAAGAAAAGCAGGAAGAATTTAAATGTTTAATTTTTTTAAATTGACTTTTCTAGTTATTAAAAGTTGCTTGTTTCAGCAGTGACATTGTATAAAGAACACCCTGTAAGATACTCCTGCCGTCTCGCTTCGGCACGTGTACAGTGCGGTCATAGAACATGTTCGCTTTCCTTCGCCCCGTCGCCTCCCGCAGCCCGTCCGCTTGCCTTCAGAGAAGCGGGGTTGGAGGCTCAGCAGGGCAGGCAGTGGGACCTGGCGGGGACGGGCATGTCCCTCTGCCTGCCCTGGCGGCCGTTCCTGCCTCCTCCATCTCCGGCCACCTCCTCCCTCCTCCCGAGCCTGTTCTGGCCTCGGACACAGATGCCCCGAGAAGCTCTGAGAAGCTGAATCTCACAGGGGTCCGTGTCCGTGCGGGGCGGGGAGCGGAGTCTGGCTCGAGTAGTTCTAGTTAGGCAGAACTTCGTAGTCTTCTTTCCCTTTTATGGCAGATTTTGATAAAAATGCAAAACAGGGTTTAATTTTCTTTTATGTCAGCTTTGAATTTAGAAAATGTGAGCACCTCAGCTCTTCTGTACCTATTTAAGTTAAGGGAAAACTTGTCCACCAAGGGGATTGCAGCTCCTAGAACTTGAGAATAAAGCCTCTTAATACGGAACTTCAAGGTGTGGTCCTGTCTCACGCCCGCCTGCCCTGCCCGGAGACTGGGGATTTGCTCCAGTGGCTGCTGGATAGGTTTACTGTCCCTTCTCCCCCAGCTTCGGGCTCAGCACTGACGCTCCAGTTCCATAATCCCAGCCACCAACACCGTGCCCTGCCTCGTACCCTAGAGCCAGTCTGTTCTTGTTCACAGTGAGGATCCTGTGTTCCCACTTCAGTGACACCTGAATTTTTTTTTTTATTGTCTTTAAGGAGGAAGGGCCCCATTAAAGGGTAAACTTGTAATAAATTGGAATTTCAAATAAACATTATGTACTTGTGTTTATAAAGAAGAAGCGGTTCTGGTGAATCTTTCTTTGTGCTCTTGGGGGAGGGAGTGGATCGTGCAGAGTGTCCCGAGTGCTGGTACTGCTGACTGTTGGGGGCAGTTGTCCTTCAGGAGCAAGAGGGCCCCTGAAATGTGACCTTCAGCTTCTCCTGGCCTTGGCCCTAAGCCCCCTCTCTTCCCCCAAATTTTCATTAGAATTCTAAGAATTCGGGGAAAATATTCTTAAAGGCTTCACTGTGGGAATTTGTATAGTGCTTGAGGACTTAATTTTGGGGCAACTCCTGGCGTTTTAAAACACCTCAAGGAAAATTTCGAACATGTAGCACAGAAAGAGTGAAAACTGAATTCCCACGTACTGTGCTTCAGCAATTCCACCACATAGCCAATCTTACGTCCTCATGTTTTTTTACGCTGGGAATTTCTGAAGTCAGAGTGCTTGATCTGAGTAGGTCACTGCCAGGTGGCCACCTGCTTACAGATTTCAGAGATGTTGCAGAGCCCACGGTGTGGTCCCATCTACCGAGAGGGAACTCCAGCTCCCAGACCACCCGAACCTGGGGCGGCGGTGAGTGAAACGGGAAGAAATCTGAGGAGAACCTGGAGCCCTCGGTGCGGGTTCTGCCCCAGCTGCTCTGTGGCCTTGCTGAGTGTGGGCCTGGGGTTGGGGGGGTGGGGAGCCGCCTGCCCCAAGGTCAACTCCAATGTGGCCAGCGCTCTGGCTCTGGGGAAGGGAGCTGTGCGACCTCCGAGCATTTCCTAGACGGTCACGGCCGGACACGGGGGCCCGGCGACGTCCGTGAAGTCATGTTCCCCAGTGGGTTTCTTAGGGTATCTGAGGATGGCGCCTGTGCTTGTGCACCGTGGTCTTGTTAAACCATCAGCCTCCCTGCCAAGGGTGGGACCTTAGGGGAGCCACCGGACTTGGGCTGACGGCTGCAAACGGGAACAAGAGAACTTTCTCCCGAGGACAGGCACCACTCCTGGGATTCAGCGGAGCCCTCCCTCTAGTGCTGCCTGCGCTGCCGCCGCCTCAGACCCGGGCTCTGGGGAGGCTCTGGAACTTGGTCAGGGGTGGCAGTGAGCTGGGGTCTGGATTCCCCGGGAGCCAGGGCGTCCTCACGCAGGGCACTGAAAAACCCAAGCCGGGCAGGAGGAGAGGGTCCGGATTGCGAGATGCTTCTAGGACTGCCCGGGCCCGGGGCCTTCCACTGGGCTGCGGCTGAGAGCAGGCAGGCAGAGCAGCTACTGACACCCCTTCCCTGGGACCGCCTCCGTCTGACCGCTGACTCCTGGGAACTTTGAACCGTTTCCTTGGAACTAACACCGAGGTCAGGGCTAAGAAGTTCCCTTACCTCAGGCCTCCCACGCACAAGCTCAGCCGCGGAGGGGCGGAGCCCGCGTGGACGTGAGCGCACAGATGTGCCGCCGGTGCCGGGGGCACCCTGTGCACAGGCCAGCAGGTGTTGGGTTCTGGAATGTCCTTTGGGGGGCTGTGGGGGGGGGGTAGGCCCCGCTGTGGGAGGGGTTTCTCTGGACGAACCCGCCCTAGGGTCTAACACCTGCTGTCCCGATGGAATCCGTGGTGTGGCGGAAGTCACAAAGGCTCTGGAGGCCGCAGGTTGCCTGGCCATGTGTGGTCTCCAGCCAGCCAGCTCTCCACACTTCCCCTGTCTGTGAATTGGGGAGAGAAGGGTCAAGTGGAAGGCTTCTGGAAAAGGTCTCTAATAAATGTTTCCTTCTTCCTTCTCCTCCAGGGTCTGGGACTTTTCCGGTGTTCCCCAGGGCTGAGAAGCCGCCGGCAGAGCCCCTCACTGCCCGCCTCTCCCCTCCCAGTTGTTCTGGAAGCTCAAATCTTGTTTCCACCTGGTGGGACCTAGCTGACTGCGGCCCCTCCCTGACCAGTGACTGGCAAGGGACAGGGGTGAACTGGTGCCACTCCTGATGCTCAGCGTCCCCTCCATCCTTTGCCCATATACACGTCACCTGCCTTTCTCTTCCCCAGTCTCCAGAATCCTCTCTTTTTGCTCCCACTGCCCCTGCCCTGAGCTCAGCTCAATGCAGCCCCTGCCCCCCGCCCCCTTCCGACCCGGGCCCCTGTCACCTTCAACAAGCGCAATCTCAGTCAAGGACCCTCATGGGGGAGTGACGAGGTGTCAGGGTCACTTGGCTTCACTGACTAAAAAAGGCCAGAGGCCTTCCTGTGTGCTCCCTGAGGGGGAAGGCTTTCGGAGGGGGCTGGGGGGACGGGCTGTGCAGGAAATGCGTAAGCACAGGTGCCTGGCTGCAGAGTTCCCCTGGGGGTCAGGACCTGTCCTTGTGGGGAGGGACAGCCCTTCACTCTCCTCAGCTCCCTTGGGAATTTGACACCGCCTGTTTGATCTTCAGTTGGTGTCTTTCTCGCCCGCTGAGACTGGTGGTTGGTGCAGGGCACAGAGCTCCGGCCTGAGAGGCCCTGGCTTTGGGAACTCAGGCCTACTACTGTTAGGAAGCAGTCGACCCTGGGCCTCCCCGAGGCTCTGAGGCGAGGCTGGACCCTTGGGGTCTCCTGGCAGTGACACTGAGCGCTGGCTCTGTGTATCATGCACCCAGGGCCAGTGACGAAGGCCCTCGCCTGGCTGAAGTCACAGTGGCCAGAGCAGAGGCCAACATGGGCCTCTGAGGTCTGACCCCCCCCAACCCCCACCCCAAGCTGATGGGGTCTCCGTGGGAGGGCCACACACTCCTTACAGTGGGCAGAGATGGCGCAGGTCCCCGCGGCCTTGAGCTTCCCCGGCGCGCAGATACACACGTACCTTTTCCTGTGCCCTGGCACACGAGTGTGCAAGGTGCCCTGGAGCAGCCGTGCGCACTCCTCTGCAACTGCCCCATTTCTCACAGCAGCTCTCCACACCGCAAATCCTTCCACAGCCTTCGGAGCTGGGGACCCAGTTCCCACTGGACTCCAGGGCTTCCCCATGTCCCCTGTCTGGGCTGCCAAGATGCCCACAGACCAGTCCGGCCCCATTTCCACTCCCCCCAGAGAGCTGAGGGGAGGCGGTGGGGTGCCCTGACTAGGACCCCAGGGAGTGAGGTGGACGCGGGCAATCCTGGCAGGCAATGAGGACAGCCACTCCAGGCTCAGCCCTCAGGCCCAGGGAAGGGACAGCGGGACACGCCCACCCGAGAGGGCGGGAGCAGGTCCCGAGGCTCCGAGGGAAACTTGGAGACAGGTCGGCGCCCTCACTTCCCACACGAGTGAAAAAAGCAGTCCTACCCACACCCCCCAGACAGGCTAGAATCCCCAAGGCCACGGGTGTCCGCCCAGGGGATTCATGGAGCGGCCCAGCCGGCATCCCAGGCACACTTTGCGAAGCGGGAACTCAGGACTCAGGCAAAGGAGCAAAGACAGGCGAGGGGAAAGCACACGCACACGCGGGGACCTCTGCAGGAACAGCTGCTCCCCAGGGACGCCCTCCTGACCGGCGGGGAGCCAGAGATCGGGGGCCGGCGCATGAGGCCAGCACCCACCCCGCTCTGCCCACCAGGAGGACTCCTGCAGGGTCCCCACCCTCCTACCTTCCCCTTTCCCGGCCCACAGAGGACTCTGCGGTGCCACACGGGGGGTTTATTTCAGTCACAGCTTCCAGAGAAACTCAAAACAATAAATTACATCATTAAATAAACTCCCTGCTGGACCACGCCCTCTTCTGCCCCTCCTCCTCGCCGCATGCTCCCTCAGGACCCCCATGGGGACCTGGCCAGGCCCACCCCCTGCACTAGGCCACAGAGGAGTGAGCCTCACTGGGTCCCGGCAATCGAGGTGGCAGGAGAGCCTCCCTGCCCTCGTCCTCGGCCCCTCACACTCACTTGCCTGACCTTGACAGCTGGGCAGCTGCTAGTCAGCTGTCTCCTCCGGAGGGGGGGCCGGGAGGGGGCAACAGCCGCCCCGCACAGGCCTGTGTCCCTAGAGGTGCGTGGGGTTCTCCAGAGAAGGGTCCGTCTTAGTCATGTGCAAGACCACGGTGGGGGCCTTGTAGTGGCAGTGGGTGCCACGGCCGTAGCCCCCGGGCGCCCGGCAGGCCTTTGCCCGGGCCCGGCCAGCTCCCATCTTGCGGTGGCACAGGCTCTGCCAGGTCTGGAAAGTCTTGGAGCTCCATACCCAGACGCCGCTGGTGATGCCCACCACCAGCGACATGAAGATTTTGAGCATAAAGACAGCCACGGTGGGCACCGAGCCCCCCGGCAGCGAGCAGTCCCTCCGGCCCCCGGGCATGCTGGCTGCCGAGCAGGGCTGCTCTGTGGCCCGAAGGCGCCAGAAGTCCATGTTGAGGCGTTCATAGACGTAGCACACGATGACGCAGGTGGCAGGCACCGTGTAGAGGATGGAGAAGACCCCAATCTTGACCATGAGCTTCTCCAGCTTCTCCGTGTTGGTGCCACCTGTCTTCATGATCTTGCGGATGTGGAAGAGGGCCACGAAGCCCGTCAGGAGGAAGCTGGTGCCCAGCACCAGGTAGCAGGAGAGGGGCACCAGCACGAAGCCGGTCAGTGCAGCCGCATCCATGCTGGCCACGTAGCAGAGCCCCGTGAGCTCGTCCCCGGCCACCTTGCGCAGCGTCAGGATGACGATGGTCTTGAGGGCCGGCAGGCCCCAGGCCGCCATGTGGAAGTAGCTGCCATGGGCCTCGATGGCCTCGTGGCCCCACTTCTTGCCGGCCGCCAGGAACCAGGTGAGGGTCAGCACCACCCACCACAGCGAGCTGGCCATGCCGAAGTAGTAGAGCAGCAGGAAGACGAGGGTGCAGCCCGTGTTCTCCAGCCCCTCCTGGATCACGTAGAGCGCGCCCGCCTCCTGGTCGCAGGCCACGCTCTGGGCGCCCGCCACCGCGCGGATGAGGAAGGCCAGCGAGTAGACGTTGTAGCACATGGACAGGAAGATGATGGGGCGCTCGGGGTACTGGAAGCGGTGGGGCTCCAGCAGGAAGGTGAGCACGGTGAAGGCCGTGGAGAAGAAGCACAGCGCCGACCACACGGCCATCCAGACGAGCGCGAAGTCCTTGTCGCGCCGCGACCAGAACACCTCGACGCCCGGCCCGCAGCGCGGCGCGCACGAGCGGCTCTTCTCCACGTACTGGAACTTCTCCGGGTTCTCGCAGGTGCCGCCGCCGCCGCCGCCGCCGCCGCCTCCCCCCGGGCCCGAGGCGGGGTCGCCGGGGGGCCGCGCGGGCCGGGGCGCCACGGGCAGCATGCCCAGGCCCTTGTGGGGCTCGGCGGGGCCCGCCGTGGCGTTCTCGGGCGCCTCCATGCAGAGCGCGTGCGGGTCGTTGCGCGTGGGCAGCCGGGCGCAGTCCAGCGAGTCGGGCCAGCCGAAGTTGAACTGCTCCATGATGGGCGCGCAGCGCAGGCGCGCCTGCTCGCACATGGGCCGGCAGGCGGGGATGGGCGTCGAGACCTGGTCGGTGCACATGGGCGCGTACAGCGAGCACAGGAAGAAGCGCAGGTGGCTGTGGCAGCCGTACTGCACGAGCGGCGCAAACTCGGCCAGCTCCGCGGCCGCCTCGCCCTGCGACGTGTGGCCCAGCAGGTTGGGCATGCGGGTCAGGTTGTAGCCGATGCCGCGGCACATGGGGATCTCCACCGCCTGGCAGGGCGCCGGCCCGCGCCCGCGCTCCGGGTCGAAACGGCCGATCTCCAGCGCCGCGCCGCCCGCCGCCAGCAGCTGCCACAGCAGCAGCGCCCGGCGGAGCGGCGGCACGGCCATCCCGGGCGGCCCCGGCCGAGAGCGGGAGGGCGGCCCCGGCTCACTCGGGCCGCACCGTCCGGCGCCCCCGTGCCCGCCCGCCACGTCGCGGGGCGCGGGCCATCGCCGAGCCCCCCGCGTGCGTCCGGGCGCCCCGGCAGCGCGCAGGGAAGCCGCCCGAGGGAGAGGAGGCGCCAAGCCCGCCGAGCGGCCAGCGCCGCTGCCACTCGAGCGGCCGCGGAGCCAGAGCCGTCGCCGCCTCCCGGGGTCGCCGCTACAAACCTCGGGGCGGGGCGCCGGGCAGACACGCCCAGGGGCGGGCCCTCCGCGCGCCGGGCACGCCCCTCCCCCCGCCGGGCTTTAAAGGCGCCGCGTCTCCCCGCGGCAACGCGGCACTCGCGTGGGCGCGATCCGACGGCGCGGGGTGCAGGTGCGCCCCGGGCCCGTGCGCTCACACTCGGTGCTTCCCCTTCTCTTGTTGCCCCACGGTCCCCGCGACCAGACCGCCGGAAGATTCTTTTGCCCTTCATCCCGGGTCGCCTCTCTTTACCCCAGGTGGCAGACCCATTTCTGAGGCCTCCACGCGTTGCGAAGCCTCGGCCTTGTACTCAGTGACAGTTCAGGTGCAGCCTGCGACTTCACCAATTGTATGCGACTTTGGGCTCTTCTCCCTCAGCCTCTGTTTCCTTTCCTACAAAACGGGCAGACAGCCTTGTGGAAACAAGCAACTCATTTGTTGCATGCGTCCTGCTTATCGGTCACACTGCACAACATGACCTCATTGCCCCTTCTCCGCAATCCAGGTGGGGAACCCGAGGCTCAGAGAGGAGTGACATACCCAAGGGCACGGAGCTATTAAGTGTTGCATCTGTGACTGAGTCCGGACCCCATACTCGAACTTACAACCCCAGGGTCAAGGGTCACTTGCTTTACCGACTGAGCCAGCCAGATGTCCCCCCACCACTCCTATACTCGGTCCATAAGGTTGCTGTACTCCTCTGGGGAGAGTGGGGGCCACGCGGCGTCACTGTATCGCCCGGAGGCTCCGCTCTCTAGGATGCCACCTTGACACCTTTGAGAGGCACTTAGGAAGTGCTTCCCTCAGAGCTGAAGGACTCTGCTTTTTATTATTTATTTTTTTTAAAGATATTTATTTATTTATTTTTTAATTTTTAGGTGATCTCTACACCTAAGGTGGGGCTCAGACTCACAACAACGAGATCAGAAGTTGCAGGCGCCACCAAATTGAGCTGGCCAGGTGCCCCAGGACTTGGCTTTTTCAATCAAAGTTGCAATTGACATGTAACATTAGTTTCAGGCGCACAACATGACTGGGTATTTGTATACACTGGGAAATAATCACCAAGTAAGTCTTGTCACCATCTGTCAGTGTACATAGTTACACATTTGTTTTCACTTGTGATGAAACTTCCAAGATTCACTCAGCAACTTTCAAACGTCCAATACCACGTTACTGACTGTAGTCAGCAGCTTGTACACGGTGTCCGCTGGACTTACTTGTTACTGGAAGTTTGTACCTCTTGGCCCCCTTCACCCATTTTGCCCACCCCTCCCAATCTGTTCTTTGTATCTGTGAGTTTTGTTTTGTCTTTAGATTCCACATATAAGCGAAATCGTACAGTATTTGGAAGACTTTATTTTGAAACCCTAGTGTCCCCCTCTCTCCCTTCCCCTCCCCTCCCCTCCCCTGAGCTCCCTGGGCACAGGGCTTTCCCTGGGGAGTCCTCTCTGGTCAGGGAGCCTGCAGCCTCCACCCCAACAGCCTCCCGAGAGCCCCATTCTCCTTCCTGTGCCTGCAGAGCAGAGGGACTGTGCACAGTGGACACCTCACAGATACCTTAGGAGTCCACCTCATTACCCTCTTCACGTCTGCCCTCACCCCCGGAAGGGTGAGGTGAGGAAGACCCAGACTCAGACTCCACAGGTCCAGACGCCCTAGCTGCTGCTCAGGGTGCTTAGAGCACGAGGGACCGAGGGAGAGGCCTGCCCTGCAGGGGGTCTAGGAGATGGACCCAGAACGTCCCATGAACCACACAAACCCTGGGCCAGGCACTTCCCACCGTGACCTTTCTAACCCTCATAACAGTTCTGCAAAGGAAATCTGTAATCATTTTATAGAAGAGAAATTGAGGCACAGAAAACTCAAGATATTTGCTTGGATTACACAGCTCCACAGGGTCAGGGTGAGCCTCCAGGCTCTTCCCCAGCATGAGGCTGCCCATCACCACCAGAGGAAGGGTACCCGCCCTGTGGTGGGAACTCAGGATGATGCGCTCAGTGCCCTCAGAGCCATGCTGAGGTGGGGGAGGCAGAAGAAAAGGGACGTGCTCTGTCGCGGGCGTGCACCCAGACTCGTGCTCTCTGAGAGGCCCCCACGAGATGGGCCATCCGTGGAGGTGCGTGCAGCCCGGTGCCCAGTGCCTCGTCCACACTCAGTCCACCTGAGTCTTGAGAGGTATGGCTGCAAGATCCTGAACTTCCCAAGGAGGTCGGGTATCTTGCAAAAAAGGACCCCGCCTTGACCCTGTGGTCAGGGATAACAGTTTCTCAGAATGCCAGAGGCAGCTTCCCATTGCTCAGGGTGAAGCTCATGCTCCTGAGGATGACTGCAGATGGCCTTCCAGCCATAGCCCCCAGCCCGCCTCTTCATCTCCTGCCATGACTCTCCCCACCCCCGTTGGGAGCACCATGCCACGTCCCTCCCTCATGCCTTCAATCTCCCCAGCCCAGGAGGCTCTTCTCTTCTGCTCTGCTGGGTACACCAGCCTCAGGCATCACCTCTCAGGGGCTGCCCCCCAGCTCTCCTGGATGGGGCTGGAGTCTCTGCTCCCGGGCCTCAGGGTCCTTGCCCCCCCCACTGTCCCCTCCCTGTGCACTCGGGAACTCTTAGCCCTCCCTCCACCCCAGTACCAGCAGCCCCTGGAGGACCACGGGGACATTTTAGTTCTCTATGCGTCTGGCCCCCCAGAGGCATAGGTGCATGAATGATACCGGGGCCCCACGTCAGGGTGTCCGTAGGAGGTGGGGGCTCCAGAGGAGCCCCTCTGTGGGCAGCGGGGGTGGAGGCTGAGGACAGTGGAGGCTTCCTGCTACCCACACTGGGCACAGGAGCCAGGGTTTTTGTGCCCCTGCCCCCCAGCAGGGTGGAGAGGAGTCTGGGGGCCCTCCCTCTGTCAGCGGCAGTGGGGAGGGCACCCCAGGAGCTGGGGGATGCCAGGCCTGTCACCATGGCAACAGCTGCTCCTGGGAAGCCAAAGGTGGGGGGTGTGGAAGGACCCCTCCCCCATGCAGATGCTGCTTGGAGAGAAGAGGCCTCTTGGGCCGCCTGCCCACCCACCCGGCTTTGTCACTCGATCTCCGTCTTTACAAAGGCAGAACAATAACCCGCGGGCTCGCTGAAAGGGAGCCGATGGACCAGGAGGAGGGGGATTACCATCAGTGCCCACCCCCCATTCCTGCTTCACTGGGCAGAGGGGCCAGAGACAGGGGCGAGGTGGTCGTAGAACCCCCCCTCGGCTCCTCCCTGGAGAGGCCTCCCTTCCTGGGGGCCCTGCGCACATGGGAAGGGACACCCGGTCCCTCTCGTCCCCCCCCACCCCTCTTGTCTCCCTGGCTTGCACTCCCAGAGGCCCTTCTTACCACATCCTCCCTGACTGTGGCAACTTGTCACCCCCCCCAGTGCACACTTGCTGCCCTCCCCCTTGGCTCTGATACTGCCTCCTCCAGGACGCCGCCCTGCCGGACGGCCCTGGTGCCCGCCTCTGTGCCCTGGGGCCGCCACACCTGCGCCTGTCTTCCCCACAAGCCTGGAAGCAACTGGGTGTCTTGGGCGCCTGGCCCGGAGCAAGTTCCCATAAATGTTTGTTGAATGAAAAACATGCCGCTATGAGGAGGGGGCCGTAGATCTTTCTGGAAGGGCCTGAATGCCAGTGGGGCCTGAGGGTGGGGAAGGGTAGTGATTGGAGCCTGGAGCACAGAGGTGTTTGTGTGAGGAAGCAGGCGCAGGCCGCATCTTGCAGGAGGGCTGTCGCTGGTGCGGGAGGACCTGGCAGGCACACTGACACACCTGCTCCCGGGCAGAAGGAGGTGGGTGCGCTGGGACAGGGAGGCGGGGGCGAGGTAAGTGTAAGCATCTGCAGGGACACGCAGGGGCCCGGTTGCTCCTGTATGTGCACACACCCCCATGCACGGGGCAGGACTGGCTGACATGCTGCCGGGGGGGGGGGGCTCTGGGAATGGGCTCACCTCCCCAAAACTTGAACCCTTCTGACTCAGTTTCCCTTGATGGCGATGTCAAGGGCTGGACAAGACTGTTCCATTCTAAAGAAGAGTTTTTAAAATTCCTTGTTAAGGCATTTCTAATTTCACAACTAGTCAGCATTAGAGGTGAGGAGAGAAATTAAGATGATCATGTCCGCCTCTCCTTACAAACCTGGCCCTCAGGGAATCAACATTAAGAGTTCAGGCACCTCTCGGGCGCCTGGGTGGCTCAGTCAGTTAGGTGTCTGCCTTCAACTCAGGTCAGGATCCAGGGTCCTGGGATCGAGCCCTGCGTCAGGCTCCCCACTCAGCGGGGACTCTGCTTCTCCTTCTCCCACTCCCCCTGCTTGTGCTCTCTTTCTCTCTGCTAGATAAATAAAATCCTAAAAAGTTTTTGATACTTTCTCTTAGACTTTGCAAACACATCCACACACAGTGCAGTCTTTTCTTGTTTTTGTTTTACTAAAATGGAATTAATATTGTACTTTTTTTGAGAGAGAGAGAATGAGAGAGCAGGGTGGGGGGGAGGGGCAGAGGGAGAGAGAGAGAGAATCTCAAGCAGGCCCCAAGCTCAGTGCAGAGCTCATCAGGGGGCTCAGTCTCATGAAGCTGAGATCATGGCCTGAGCTGAAATCAGGAGTCCTGTGCTCAACCGACTGAGCCACCCAGGTGCCCCAATATTGTACATTTTTACACTTCATTTCTCTCACCTAAAAATCTATCATGGACGGATGGATGGA